AAAAAAAAAAAAAAAAAAAAAAAGGGAAATGGGGGGGGGGGGTGTGGGAATCGCCGTGGTTTTGTGGGTTTTTTGCGGTTTTGTGGTTTTTTGTGGCTTTGTGGTTTTGTGGTGTTTGTGCGCAGGGATGGAGCCGGTGTGGGATTTGGGATAAACTGGGAATCTCCATCCTTGGGCAGAGATGGATTTGGGATAAACTGGGAATCTCCATCCTTGGGCAGAGATGGATTTGGGATAAACTGGGAATCTCCATCCTTGGGCTCCTGCTCAGCCTGGCTGGGGACAGGATCTGGGCTTGGGGACACTCAGGACGTGGCTTTGGGGCGGCTGCGCTGTGTAAACCCTGTAAACCCAAACCCAAACCTAAATAAACCCAAATCCAAACCCAAATCCAAACCCAAATCCAAACCCAAACCCAAATCCAAACCCAAATCCAAACCTAAATCAAACCCAAATTCAAATCCAAACCCAAATCCAAACCCAAATCCAAACCCAAACCCAAATCCAAACCCAAACCCAAACCTAAATAAACCCAAATCCAAATCCAAACCCAAATCCAAACCCAAATCCAAACCTAAATCAAACCCAAATTCAAATCCAAACCCAAATCCAAATCCAAACCCAAATCCAAACCTAAATCAAACCCACATCCAAACCGAAACCCAAATCCAAATCCAAACCCAAATCCAAACCCAGATCCAAACCCAAATCCAAATCCAAACCTAAGTCAAACTGAAATTCAAACCCAAACCCAACCCCAACCCATCCCATTTCCATGGGATATTTCCATGGGATCCCCATGGGATTTCTGCTGTATTTCCATGGGATATTTCCTTGGGATCTCCATGGGATTTCTGTCGTATTTCCATGGGATCTCCATGGGATCTCCATGGGATATTTCCATGGGATCTCCATGGGATTTCCATGGGATATTTCCATGGGATCTCCATGGGATTTCCATGGGATTTCCATGGGATTTCCATGGGATTTCCATGGGGTTTCCATGGGATTTCCATGGGATTTCCATGGGGTTTCCATGGGATTTCCATGGGATTTCCATGGGGTTTCCATGTGATTTCCATGGGATTTCCATGGGGTTTCCATGGGGTTTCCATGGGATATTTCCTTGGGATCTCCATGGGGTGCCCATGGCTGAAATGTGCAGTGACGGGGTTTTTGGGGAGCCCATGGCTGCGGTGGGGAGGGCCCACACGTGTGCACACCAACCTTGCACACCCACGCACGCCACCCTTGCACACGTGTGTGACCCCGGCCTTGCACACACATGTAACCCCAGCCTTGCACATGTGTGTGACCCCAGCCTTGCACACGTGTACCCCCCAGCCTTTCACATGTGCGTATCCCACATGTGTGCCCCCCACCCTTGCACAAGTGTTCACCCCATCTTTGCACACACTCGTGTGCCCCCCATCCTTGCACACACACCCCCCCCCCACCCTTGCACACACACATCCCCCCCATCCTTGCACACTC